AAATCCAAATGATAGTAATACTTCTGTCAATGGAAATAACGTGCCTAGTACACCTGGCAAGATGTATGATTTTGAAATATATAATTATTGTATATAATATCATTTAACAAATCATTAATTTTTATTCACTCAAAAAACAGGCTCAGAGATTATAATCTCACCCAAATTAGTCGAGTATTAAGTGAGGGGTACCGAAATTTTAAAATAATTCGTTTGTAAAATGGTATTGAATTTTATTTATAATGACCTCTTGAACTGTTTAGGCTCGAATATGTTCGATCACAAAGAGAAGAAATTCGATTATTTGGAAGGTATATAAAACATTGTCCTACAACCATACGTATATGTAATATACCATAACATCTCCATTTAAAATATATTCTCGAACTTTAATCTTTTGTGATTAGTTTGGGAAAGGTTTTATTTACCAAAGTACCTCCAAATGTTTCAAATAAATTATGGGATTTCTTGGAGTTAAAAGATGTTATTGTTGGCGAACATGGAATTTGTCCATTATATAGGAATCAGTAAGTGCTTAATAACCAAATTTTTATTTTACGATTATATGCGTTTATTTATTTGTTTATTATTTAGTGCCACAACAAACGAGACTTTGTATCAAAATTTCGTAAAAATTCTTGGTAATGGAAAAACGATAAGTGGTAGATCTTCCTTTTTTGAGATTAACGCGAATGCAAGAAATTCTCCACATGCTGGATATACACCTGTTTCTATGTATGTCAATTGTGATTTTGTATCTCTGGATAAAGTCACAATGCAGTGGAATCATCTTGTTGATGTTGATTGGACAGTTTTGGATCGGTATGTTTTCCTCAACACAATAAGTTAATGATCCGCGTATTTAACAAAGACATTAGATTAATAAAAGTTTCATTGGCTTTGTCTTAATATTTTTTCCTAATTTTTTATAATTTAGTAATTTCGATTTTGAAATAAGCTTGCAATCGAGACGAGTTCTTCGTTCTGATGTTAAACCGTTCACCACTTTCATGAAAAAGGTTTCAGTCAGCCCGACGAACAATGTGATAACTTATGAAAATGTCACTGATTTCCTTCACGTAAAATCTATCAATTATAAACAAGTTTCACGATATATGCTACATGAACCTTTCATTGCGGAATTGACCCGCATTGAGCAAGTACCCATTAGTGAGCAAACAACTCGTAAAATTATTGGAAAGACAGGTCAAGGTCCTTACTGGTATACTATTGAGGTGAGTGATATATTTGTATTTTTCGCACAGATAATATAGATAATTTCATTATATTAATTTATTAACATTATTTTAGGTTATTAACGATAAACACGACAAATATTTCAAGACTAACGAGTTTCTTGGCCCTGGTCAAGTCACAGAATGGACCGTTGACAATATTATTGGAGACGATTCATCGAAACTTCACCTCATTGAATATGTAAAAGCTATGCTCTTATTAGTTGAACGCTGCCATAAGCCTGTGGAACAACATAAAGAAGAATTAAAGAAGAAGGATAGTATGAAAAAGTTCCAAGAGTTAGGACAGCAACTTAAAAATGTATCGATCGAATCTTGAGTGAAGTTGAAATGATCTTTTTTTTTTTAAGAATTTGTATTTCGACGTTTCATTCTTTGCTCTTTTTATACTCAAGAAATTCAATCAAGTTGTGTTACTTGAATTTAACTTTTAATTTGGAGTTGGTTTTTCCTACTCACAAATGGATTTTTTCTGTATTTATCCTGTGTATTGCGCTTTCACATGGAAATCTTTAATTGATAGAATTATTTTTCTGAAAAATTTTTAACTTAACATACACTTGTTACTGTTTTTATATCGCTTGTGTAAATATATACGTACTGTATA